TAACATATTATAAAGTCAGTTTCTATAATTAAACTTATTGATATATACTCTTGGTTACTGTTTCAGACATTAAGTAAGAATAATGAATTCCCTCCTCCCATTAAAGACTGGCATATTTATAGAATCCTCACCAGATAATGTAAATTCAGAATCTTGGTCTCTGCATCCAGTTCTGTGTGTTTAATGATATAATCCACTTGGACTTCCTGTTGTCCCTCACAAGGTAGAACTTCAGCCTGGGAATGCAGCTTCAGGAAACTTTTACTGGCAGAATAAAACGGTTTAAGGGAGAGTTCTGCAAAGCCATATTTTGGTTCAAAAAAGTCGTGGTTATATGGGTCTATCTTCTCAGTTGTTTTGGCCTGCGGAAAAAAATAATGCAGTCCTCAATTTAATATTTTTGGGTAAGATTTTCAAATCATCATTGATATTTTAAGATTGACTTTAAAACTTTTTTTCAGAATATTAAATATCAAAAATATATCTTATATAAAAAATATATAGCAATATATCCAAAAATATCATAACGTTTAAAAAAAAAAAAAAAAACATTTTAAAAGATTATCCAAAAATAATTTGAAAACCATGGAGCAATGCAGGGAGGAGTGGGCCTTGTCAGAGCCAGGAGTAGGCAGGTGAAGTTTAGGTCAGCGGGCTGACCTATGGTGAGGGAAGGGGTAAAGGGGACCTGTAAATTGTGCAGGTCGGCAGGGCTCTTATTTTCTTCTTTTTCAGGTGCAGCATGGCATCCTTGGAAAAGATCCTGAAGGGAGTACAGTCAATCGTGGAGGTAAAATGCATGGCGTGGCTGCAGGAGCAGCTGGGGGCACCGAGCACGTCTGCTCCCCCCATGCGGTGGCTGACCAGCGGCCGGAAAGGAGATCAAGGCATCCCCAGCGGCTCAGCCCAGGACCTGGTCCAGCAGCGTGGAGAAAGAGGAGAGCAGATGAGGCAGTGTGGCAGCTTCGTCTTTGGCGACAGGAAAGCAGGAAGGTGCAGGACGTCGGCCGGGGCTGCTTAGCAGACACGGAGCCGGGCCGGCGAGGTTGCAGGCCAGGAAGAGGCCTCCCTCGAAGGGCACCACCAGCTGGATGGCGGTGGATGGGAAAGCAGGGAAAACAGCCGGTGTCAGAGTGGAGAGGTCGGGGGAGTTGGAGACAGTTGCAAGGCATCCCGGTGAGTCGCCCCCTGGGGGCAGCACTGAGGGGCAGAGGGGGGAGGAAGGAGCAGATGGCAGACTGACAGCGGTCCCACAAGGCACAGGAGGGGAGCAGGACAGCGGGAGGAAGGAGGAGGCAGCCAGAGTAGGAATGACAATTTGAAACGAAGGGAAGAAGGGCGGGTGCAACCGTACGGACTACCCAGGTTATCTTCTCCTTGCAGGTCGCTAAGTAGGTCACCCACAAGATCAAGGCGGGAACAGGCGGACAGGAGTCGGCGTCCCCTGGATACTCTGGAGCAAGTCGAGGCTGACAGAAGGACCGTGCCCCCGCGGCCATCAGTGGCCGGGGGGCTTCAGTGGTGAGTCAACAACTGCACAACACTCAGGGAGTCTACTGGGGTGCTTACAATCACTATTAGAAACATGGTCTGGGGCAACAGGGTCATCTCCACAGTTTGGGAGGGTGTGGGCTGCGGAGGGCAGGTTAAGGGGATGGAAGAAGGACCAGGGGAGCAATTAGAGCTATGTGGGGAAATAAAAATATAAAAAAATATATAAAAATAAAAATATCTGACGCAGTACAGCAAAACGTGCACGTCTGTCATTAGGGTGTCATTTAAAAGCTGAGGTTAAAGGACCACTATAGTGCCAGGAAAACATACTCATTTTCTTGGCACTATAGCTATGTTTATAGAAAAAAGGGTTAACCCTAGCTGGACCAGGCACCCAGACCACCTCATTAAGCTGAAGTGGTCTGGGTGCCTATAGTGGTCCTTTAAGGATAAAATTTGGAAAGGAGACTTTGTGGAGATGTTTTCACTACTCTCTTTAGAAGTGTTTTTAGACCTAAAAGAGGAAGATAAGAAGGATACAAAGAAGGAGGAAGAAGAAAAAAGGCAAAGGTATCGGAAGATACCCAAGACTTTTGGGAACTGATTGAGGGCCTTTTGTATTTTAGCGAGCGTAATCAGGAAAAGTGCCCGGATCGCTGCTCGCAGCTTTTTTGTTATTTAGACGGTAGACGGGACGCGTATCAGACGGAGGATTAGCGTGGTGGAGATATGACGAACAATTTTGTCAGAGGCTGGCAGCAAATCCGTCAATGCGGTGGGACCAGATGGACCTGCCGTTATGGATGAGGCTGATGATGGCACAAAAGAGTGCTCCTTTTCTCGGAGCGACCGGCGCGGGCCCGAGCGAGACCGTGTCGGCAGGACAGAAGAAAGATTTTTGCTGGCTTTATAATGAGGGACAATGCAAGTGGGGTGCATCATGCAGATTCAAGCATGAGTGCTCCAGTTGCGGGGGTAACCACGGAGTCGCAAGATGCTTTAAGAAAGGAAAACCGAATGCGGGAGGGGGTACCACAACTGCGGCTGTGGGCGTCTCCGGTGAGGGCAGGTGCAATGCTGCCTTGGTTAAAACAATACACTAATGAAGAACTGGCGAGATTCTTATGGCTAGGTTTTACGGAGGATTTCGTGATTCTGTTTCAGGATAAGGGTCCGGGTAAGTTATGCAGGAATCTTCGGTCGGTAACGGAGCATCCGGGGGTAGCTCGAGAAAAGTTGTACAAGGAAGTACAATTGGGGAGGATTGCTGGGCCATTTGCCTACCTGCCATTGGAGGGTTTGAGAGTGTCTCCACTTGGGGTAGTACCCAAGAAGGAGGCAGGTAAATTCCGTATGATACATCATTTATCGTACGCAAAAGGGACATCCGTGAATGATGATATCGACGTAGCCCTGTGTTCTGTTTCTTATACATCATTTGACAAGGCTGTCGAGTTGGTAAGGAAAGCAGGTCACGGGGCACTGATGGCGAGAGTGGATATGGAAGCGGCACTCAGGCTGCTTCCTATACACCCAGATTGTCATCACCTGTTGGGGTGTTATTTCGAAGAGAGGTATTTCGTGGACTTGTGTCTACCTATGGGATGCGCCATCTCATGTGCTTACTTCGAGAGGTTTAGCACATTTTTGGAATGGGTGGTGCGGCGGGAATCGGCAGGGGGTGCAGTGGTGCACTACCTTGACGATTTCTTATGCGTCGGCCCGCCGGGAACGGAGTGCTGTAGTCAAATATTGCAGGTCTTTTAGTGGGTGGCACATGAGTTTGGGGTGACGTTAGCAGAGGACAAAACAGTGGGGCCCACTACGTGCCTCAGCTTTCTGGGGTTGGATATCGACTCAGTACAGGGGGAATGCAGGTTGCCTTGCGACAATCTGCACGCCCTTCGGCAACTGGTGGACACGGTTAGGAAGGCAAGGAAGGTGACCTTGCAAGAGCTTCAGTCGTTAATAGGGAGCCTTAATTTTGCATGTTGGGTAATTCCCATGGGAAGGGTCTTCTGCAGGCAATTAGCGAGGGCGACGAGCGGGGTGAAAAAAACGTTGCATTATATCAGAGTGTCGGTAGACATGAAAGAAGACCTGGGGGTATAGGTGAGTTTTTTGCAAGAGTTTAACGGGAGAGTGTTTTTTCTGGGCGCTGTGGGGTCTTCGGAGTATGTGGGCTTGTTTACTGACGCGTCGGGTAGCATTGGGTTCGGGGCTTATCTAGCGGGAAAACGATGCGCGGAGAGGTGGCCGGAGGGTTTTAAAAAAAGCTTTAAAAAGTTAAAAAAGTTTAAAAAAGTTTTAATAACGTTTAAAAAAAAGTTTTAAAAATCCCACCCCCATTACACAGTCCAAATAAAAATTAACCCCTTCCCTGCCAGTTGATCACTGCCTACAGTGATCAAAATACAGATCACAGTATTATACTGTGATCTAATTTTTTTTAACACCTGAGGATTAACTTTTATTTATTTTTTAATCCTCAGGGGTTCAATTTATTTCATTAATTAATTTATAGAACCATAGAAACATAGAAACATAGAATGTGACGTCAGATAAGAACCATTCGGCCAATCTAGTCTGCCCAAAATTTCAAAATACTTTTAATTAGTCCCTGGCCTTATCTTAAGTCTAGGATAGCCTTATGCCTATCCCACGCATGCTTAAACTCCCTCACTGTGTTAACCTCTACCACTTCAGCTGGAAGGCTATTCCATGCATCCACTACCCTCTCACTCAAGTAATACTTGCTGAAATTATTTTTAAACCTTTGCCCCTCTAATTTAAGACTATGTCCTCTTGTTGTGGTAGTTTTTCTTCTTTTGAATATAGTCTCCTCCTTTACTGTGTTGATTCCCTTTATGTATTTAAATGTCCCCCCTGTCTTGTCTTTCCTCCAAGCTATACATGTTAAGTTCCTTCAACCTTTCCTTGTAAGTTTTATCCCGCAATCCATGAACCAGCTTAGTAGCCCTTCTCGGAACTCTCTCTAAAGTATCACAATTTGTCTGCAAGTTGTTTTTTTGCAGCAATCATACTCATATCTAATCATACGATCTTCTTTCATTTAAACTGAGAAAAAGAAATAGTTATTTAAAATGTCTGCCTTTTCCTGGTATTCATTAACTAACACGTCCACCTCTGTTTTCAGTGTACCTCTTTTTTTGGAGCAGTCTTTACATTTCAGCTCCCACTGTCCCTTGTAGACAACAAATTGGGCAATAATATGCATTGCCAATTGGCAGTTTCTTACTCCTCTAGACTGTAAGCTTGTTTGAGCAGGGTCATCTTTAACCTATTGTTCCCATATGTTTTTGTAATTGTCTCATTTATTGTTAAATCTCCCCCTCCTATATATTTGTAAAGTGCTACAGAATTTGGTAGTGCTAGATAAATCCCAATAATAACAACGGTTTATGATTTTTTATGTGGGGTATGGTATATAATATGGTGTTTCATGTATAATATGGTTTATAATATGATGTATGACGTATGATGTGGAGCAGTTGCAGATTGAGATGAGATATTGGAGCCAATAAAGACTCCAATATTTGAGTCCATCACTTTTTTCCAAGTATTTATTGGCTCCAATATTTCATCTCAATCTGCAACTGCTCTACATCATTCACCATATTATACATATCATTCACCATACTATATTCCATACACCATATTGTACATATGGTACTATATACCATACTAGGGCATGCACAAATTTCAGTATATTATTCACCATGCTGTGAGTGTCTGCCTTCCTGCCTAAACTAAGATGATTTTTTTTTTAGAATTTTATGTTTGTATATTTGTGTATTGTTCTGCATTACTTTAAATTTCATAATTTTCATAATGTCTGTCTTAATTTTAATTTAATTTTGAAAACTAGATAGGAATTGGTGGCCATCAAATGATGAAGTATAACTCTTTATTGATGCTTTTCGACAGTCAGGGCCTTAATCAAGTATAACAAATAATTAATTAGAGCATTTTTTTATACCCCATCTAATGCAAACAATCATGTGTAACAATGATATAATTAAATGTCAATTGCACATTCAAGTTCATGACTCAGAATGTAACCAATTGACACTCTGACAATTTCTATATATGCGCAGAAAGGACAAAAATGACAATGAGAAATCAGCAGTATCAGCGTCAAATGAGGTCATCAGATCAGGGGTGCAGTGGCATCTTTCTTTGTATTTTTATTTGTAATTTTGGGATGACCAATAAAACTCCATGTCATGAAATGCATATAACACAGTGAGCTGGTTTCAACATGTCTTTATTGCAGAGCTTAACTTGAGGCGAGACACCACCTTCAGTAGCAGCAGTGGCGGCTCTAGACTTTATGAGGCCTTAGGCGAAACTCAAACAAGAGGCCCCCCCACTAGCACTCATAGTAAAAAAAACATATGGGGGTTGCATCGTGTGTATAATGAGCTGTTGTTATAATGTATGACAGGCTTGCAGCGCTGGATACAGAGAGCTAGTCTCTGTATTCACTGTTGGGGTGAGTGTGGCACTGTTGAAGGAGAAAGTGTGACAGGGCGAAGGGAGGTGAGAGTGACAGGATGAGGGAGGGTTGTGTGACAGGGTGAGTGTGGCATGGTTGGGCCCAAGTGGAAGGGTTAATGTGAAAAAGGATGAGTGTGACAGGGTTGGGGGTGAGTGTGACAGTATGAGAGAAGATGAGTGTGATAGGATTAGGGGGATTAATGTGATAGGGTGAGTGTAGAAGAGCGAGGGCCGTTAATTGTGGTATGGATGGAGAGGGTGAGAGCACCAAGATTAGGAGAGGTTAATGTGAGCAAGGCTGGGTGAAGGGGGCATGACAGCATGTGGGGGGTGGCTGTATGTGTGTGGAATTGTGACGTGGGTAGGTGAGAGTGTGGGAAGCAGTGTTGGAAAGGGTGACAGTGTGTGCAGGGGCAGTGTGTGGGAGGGGTGACTGTATGTATTGGTGACAGTGTTGGGGGCTGACAATATGGGGTGCAAGTATGTGAAAGGGTAACAGGGTGAGAGAGCAGTGTGGAGGAATGTGACAGTTTTGGGGGCAGGGTGTGAGTGGGTGACAGTGAGGAGGAAGATGACAGTGTGGGGTAGCAGTGTGGAGGATGGTGACCGTGTGGGGGGCAGTGTGTTACAGGGTGGGAGGGCAAGGTGTGTGGGACACAGTGTAGTGAGGGCAGGGTGTGTGACAGCATGAGGGGGCAGTGTGTATGACAGTTTAGGAGGGCAGGGTGTGTGACCATGTGGGTGGCAGAGTGTGTGGGAGACAGTGTGGGGGGCAGGGTATGTGGTGGTCACTGTGGGGGGCAGGTTATGTGGTGGTCAATGTGGGGGGCAGGTTATGTGGGGTCAGGGTATGTGGTGGTCATTGTGGGGGACAGTGTCTATGGTGGTCAGTGTGATGGTTAGTGTGGGGGCAGTGTATGTGGTGGTCAGTGTGGGGGACAGTGTCTGTGGTGGTTAGTGTGGGGGCAGTGTATGTGGCGGTTAGTGTGGTGGTCAGTGTATGTGGTGGTCAGTGTGGTCATCAGTGTGGGGGGCAGTGTATGTGATGGTCAGTGTGGGGGCAGTGTATGTGGTGGTCATCAGTGTGGGGGGCAGTATATGTGGTGGCAGGGCAATGTGGGGGGCAGCGTATGTGACTGGCAGGGCAGTGTGTGGGCAGGGTATGTGGGTGGCAGGGCAGTGTATGTTATGGCAGGGTATGTGGGGAGCAGGGCAGTATGGGTTGGAGGGCAGTGTGGGAGGCAGGGCAGTGTATGTGGGTGGGCAGTGGGGGTGGGAGGGTAGTGTTGGGGCAGTGAGGGTGGGAGGGAAATGTTGGGGCAGTGTATGTAGGTGGGCAGTGAGAGTGGGAGGGTAGTGTATGTAGGTGGGAAGTGAGGGTGGGAGGGCAATGTTGGGGCAGTGTATGAAGGTGGGCAGTGAGGGCAGTGTATGTAGGTGAGCAGTGAGGGTGGGAGAGCAGTGTTGGGGCAGTGTATGTAGGTGGGCAGTGTTGGGGCAGTGTATGTAGGTGGGCAGTGAGGGTGGGTGGGCAGTATTGGGACAGTGTGGGTGGGAGGGCAGTGAGGTTGGGAAGGCAATGTTGGGGCAGTGTATGTAGGTGGATAGTGATGGTGGGAGAGCAGTGTGGTCATCAGTGTGGGGGGCAGTGTATGTGATAGTCAGTGTGGGGGCAGTGTATGTGGTGGTCATCAGTGTGGGGGGCAGTATATGTGGTGGCAGGGCAATGTGTGGGTCAGCGTATGTGACTGGCAGGGCAGTGTGTGGGCAGGGTATGTGGGTGGCAGGGCAGTGTATGTTATGGCAGGGTATGTGGGGAGCAGGGCAGTATGGGTTGGAGGGCAGTGTGGGAGGCAGGGCAGTGTATGTGGGTGGGCAGTGGGGGTGGGAGGGTAGTGTTGGGGCAGTGAGGGTGGGAGGGAAATGTTGGGGCAGTGTATGTAGGTGGGCAGTGAAGGTGGGAGGG